CATAATGTTTTATGTGTTGTACCTGTTTGTCACTGTTTATCTGTCTCTGTTATAACAACTATGTTCACATCTGTTTGCAGCAAACATCACACTGGATAGGACAAAACTGACTGCAGGTAAGGACTATTATTAACTATTATTCATATTAATAAAGGTGAAATCCCTCTAAAATAGTTTTGTTTGCTCCATTTTATAACCAGCCTCTAATTGTGCTGCCATTATAAGATTTAAAAATGTGACATTTTTCAAGGAAAGTCAATGTATTTGAGTGATGTACATTTGCTTTTTCTGTCATCTAGTGAAAATAACTACTTTATATTTCTGCATTTTGGTAATATTTTTAAAATGTTGTTTATATTTTGTAATTTGTTGATCTTTAATTTTTATATTCACACGACTGTTCTTTCTGCAGCATCAGTTTGTTCTCAAAGCTTTCATTTTATTATTAGTCATTTTTAAAAGTATTTGCTGGATTATTTTTCGAGGTTTAATTTTTTGTCTTAAAACATGTAACACCCTTCACAATTCTCTGCCATGTGCATTTTTGTGCCTGAATCCCAGTTTCCCAGAGAGTTGAGTATTTTCTGTAATAAGAACCTGTCCCGTGTACACAGTGTCAGTGTTGTATTTTGTACAGAGGATTACCAGTGCACTGGCTTCCTGGAGCAAGATTTTACTGAGCTTTTTTATCGACTTGGATATATTGACATTCCAATACTCCTTGCATACCCGTCACTGCCAGGATCTGAAAGACTGCTAAGCTGAAACTCTCTATTTCATGGAACAAGTAGGGAAAAGAGTATATTGCTCTGCTTAGAACTGATCATATATTCATTAGTTTAGGGGCATCCAGGGGCCTTCTGCTGTTGTGGAGAACATTAAGTGTTTTTTTAATTGTTGATCTTTGTGTCCAACAGATTATTATTCTGATTAATATTATTGTGTTATTATTTATATAGTGCCAACAAATTCCGCAGCGCTTTACAGAGGGTGGGCGAACAGGCATGTACTTGTAACCATACAAGTTGGACACATTCAGAATGCGTAGATGTCATCCAGGTCGGATCAGGTCAAGCATCTGATATGTTCTCTTACTTCAAACCCAAAATACAGATTGTAATAGAAATCTCTTTAATGAATTTTGGGTCTTTGTTTTCCATCAGACGTATGTCTGTCCATCTGTCCTGTTTGTAGAAATGTATACACTTTCTTCATTCTATACAGCCAACCAAATCTTTCCTTTTTGTGTAACAAAAATCAGACCTCACCATGTTTGTTTATTCTTGTTAACACCCATCTATGGATACGATTTAGCTCCATTCACATAACTGTGTAGGTCAAGTTATAATGCAAAATGGGCCGGGGCCTGAATTAAGGTGGGTAGAGCTATATTTAAAGTTCCTTGCAGTGATATTTACTTTCAGGGGACACATGACGTTTGGCTGTGATATCTGGGGGAATGCATGGCAAGGCTTACAACACCTTGTACGATAAAGAGAAACTCCTAAACTCTAACATTGTCAAACATTATTTTACTTTTTTGTGTCACAGGGTGCCTGCACTCACCAATCTGTAGCAAACGTATCCCCTGTGTGCAGATTACCTTAGACTGTTATGTGTTGTCCTCTTTTCTTTTTTTTTTTCTTTTTTAATAAAGGTGAAGATTTTCCATCATGGATTGTTTCTTGGTTGATATGGCTCGATATAAATTTCAATAATAAAACAATTCTCCTAAGTCTGTATTTCACTTTGCTAGTTTTTTTTTTTTTTGTAATGTTTCTTTTTTGCACACAGTTTGAAATATTCCATGTTAAAGGCATGGCTGAACGTGACTGGTGGTTAAAATCAAGTTATGCAGGTATTGGTTATATTTAAAAAGGTTAATGGGAAATGAAAAATTAATTCATATCCTGCTTGTGTCTTTAGCCAGATTTCAGGAAACTAAGCACATTCATTTAACCTCTTAAGGACGGCGGGCATACTATACCGTCCTTGGGCACCCAGCTCTAAACGCAGACAGGCTGCATAGTACTTAATTCACAAATGTTTCGCCCCACAAAGGGATCTTCTTTATCAAGCCAAGTCCACAAGTTAGTGGATTATAAATTACTAGTTAACACTATTTAGGTGGCGTAATGCTATTCTGTTTGTTCCAAAATACATGCATATGGTGTAAAAACCTTCACTCCCTCCATCCCACCTAATGTTAATGCGTAGTTAATGAAATATTTGTTATTCATCGTTTGAATCACTCTTGGAAAGGTGAGTTAATGTCAATAACTGAGTATTTCTGGGTTTTCATGGGGTCAGGCAAGTGGCTTCACATGTTTTCCCACCTGGTGTACTTTGGGAATTTAAAACATTAAAAAAAAAGAAATCAATACATCTATCCACAATAGTTAAAAACAAAAAGGAATGGTGAGAGCACAAAGAACCAGTAATTACCCTTATGTCCAATATAAAACCTGTAAAAATACAATGGGAAAAACAGGCATAGGGTAATAACGTACAGATAATATATGAATGAGTAAATACTTGGATAAACTCACATATTCATGAGCCACTTATTATCAAAGCTGGCTCAGACTAAGAACGTTGAATGGATTAATGAAGTGGTAGCTGTAATCCAACCGCTAACTGCTTGCTCCTTCTCACTTTAAAAAATCCTGGATGTAGGATCTTTAATGAAACCTTTTATTCGGTATAGCAGCAAAACAAACAGCAGCAGCAAAAATTAAAATTCAGCAATTCCACCTCTGCACACTAACGCGTTTCAGCCGAAGCCTTTATCAAAGTGTGAGTCCATTCGGTCTGTTCCGTGTTTAAATAGGAGACTTTTCGCACCTTTCTTCCGTTTGGAAATAAGCTCCCCCACTTTTTATAGACGCAACCTTATTGGGCATCCTAGCGTCCATAGCAACTTCAATTTACTTCCGTGTACATCGAAAGAAAAGACGTCGAACTGATCCTTTCACTTACACAGTCTTTCGTGTTGCAGAATCAAAGTCCTATTAGCAACATACTTTATACATATCGTCAATTACATTAAAACAAATATTGTAACAAAATACTCTTATACATAAAATATTAACAACATTAAGACTCTCTTTCTCAAAAAAGGAATTAAAGAGAAAAAGGGAGAAAAGAAGAGGAAATAAATTGAAAAGGGAAATCAACTATTTACATTTAGAGGTATACCGGGGGAATGCATTATATATAAAGTGCACTTATTTTACCTCTCATCATAATCAATATTAATAAAATTAGTCATATCCAGATAAAAAATTATACATAAATATACTAAAATCATATTTAAAATTAGTACCAATATAAAACAAATGAATATGGTCTCTAATAAATTTAAATAGATAATTTTGATTAAATATAAGTATTAATTTCAAAATCTACGTTTAATCCCCCCGGTGTGAGTGTATCTAAATTAAAAATCCATTTCATCTCATTTTTGCTAAATTAAAAATCCATTTCATCCCAAAATGTCCGGCATACCTAAAAATAGTTGATTTCCCTTTTCAATTTATTTCCTCTTCTTTTCTCCCTTTTTCTCTTTAATTCCTTTTTTGAGAAAGAGAGAGTCTTAATGTTGTTAATATTTTATATATGAGTATTTTGTTACAATATTTGTTTTAATGTAATTGACGATATGTATAAAGTATGTTGCTAATAGGACTTTGATTCTGCAACACGAAAGACTGTGTAAGTGAAAGGATCAGTTCGACGTCTTTTCTTTCAATGTACACGGAAGTAAATTGAAGTTGCTATGGACGCTAGGATGCCCAATAAGGTTGCGTCTAGGAAAAGTGGGAGGATCTTATTTCCGAACGGAAGAAAGGCGCGAAAAGTCTCCTATTTAAACACGGAACAGACCGAATGGACTCACACTTTGATAAAGGCTTCGGCTGAAACGCGTTAGTGTGCAGAGGTGGAATTGCTGAATTTTAATTTTTGCTGCTGCTGTTTGTTTTGCTGCTATACCGAATAAAAGGTTTCATTAAAGATCCTGCATCCTGGATTTTTTAAAGCGAGAAGGAGCAAGCAGTTAGCGGTTGGATTACAGCTACCACTTCATTAATCCATTCAACGTTCTTAGTCTGAGCCAGCTTTCATATTAAGTGGCTCATGAATATGTAAGTTTATCCAAGTATTTACTCATTCATATATTATCTGTATGTTATGACCCTATGCCTGTTTTTCCCATTGTATTTTTACAGGTTTTATATTGGACATAAGGGTAATTACTGGTTCTTTGTGCTCTCACCATTCCTTTTTGTTTTTAACTATTTATTTATGTGAGGTGGAGTGACCCACTTTCTGCTTATTGTAGCACTTTGTTTTATATTGTTTTTTTTTTCACCATATATACACCTATTTTATTACATCTATCCACAATACCTAAAGGATCACTTTAGTGTCAGGAAATCTACTATAGTGCCCTCAGGGCCCCCCTCCCGTGGCGCTGAAGGGGTTTAAACCCCTTCAGCCACTTACCTTAATCCAGCGTGACTATCCAGCTCCCCAGTCTGACATCAGCGGAGCCGAATGCGCATGCGCAGCAAGTGCCGTGCGCGCATTCAAAGTGTCCATAGGAAAGCATTTCTCAATGCTTTCCTATGGACGCTCTGCGTAATGGAGGAGAAATGTGCCTCTAGTGGCTGTCCAGAAGACAGCCACTAAAAGGCTGGCTTAACCCCAAATGTAAACATAGCAGTTTCTCTGAAACTGCTATGTTTGCATCTGAAGGGTTAAAACCTGAGGGACCTGGCACCCAGAACACTAAATTGAGCTGAAGTGGTCTGGGTGACTATAGTGTCCCTTTAAGTATTCGATCATTATATTCAGCCATTACCTGCACTATCTTGTGTTTTGTATGATTTTGATAAAGTTGCAGCAGTCGTCATGCAAACAAGTGGAGCTGGCATGCACGTTATATTAGTGACACTACTCCTTTTTCATATTTTATTCTTTGTTTCCATCATTCTTACCTGCTGACTGGAAGGGGTAGTGTCTGGTAGGAGTTAAAGGGGCACTATAGTAACCAAAACAACTTTAGCTTAATGAAGCAGTTTTGGTGTAAAGTGCATCATGCCCCTCCAGTCTCGCTGCTCAATTCTCTGCCATTTCGGGGTTAAATCACTTTGTTAATGCAGGCTAGGCACAGCCCATCTAAACACTTCCTCTAAAGAGTCATGTTTACACTTCCTTTATTGCAAATTGTTTTTAATTTAGAATTTCTTATCTCCTGTTCTGTTAAAAGCATGCTACACGCTGCAGGAGCCTCCAGTATGTTATTAAAGTTTACATTTACAAAGCAGGAGTTAAAACCGTTTAAAGTAAGTAACATCTGAATGAAAATGAAACCATTTTGTTTTCATGCAGTCTGTGTCACTCACAGCCAGAGGAGCTGGGGCTAGGGTGGCATAAACATAAACAAAAGTGATTAAACTTCAAAGGCATAATCTATACACAAAAAACTGCCTCATTACGCTAAAGTTGTTTAGGTGACTATAGTGTCCTTTTAATTGGTGGCCCAGCCAGGAAACAGTTACCAACTGGGCAGAACAGCCTGAATTAAATGAATAACTGATCATGGGATACCGTTTGTAAGTGGGAGGGTTTGAGCAGCCAGGAAAGAGTTAATGATTTGTTGGAGCGACCAGCAAAGGGTTAATGATTATCTGGGGCGGCTTGGAAAGGGTTAATGCAATGCTTGCCCATGTGTTATTGATTTCTGATTGGAAGTGGGTGGAGACCAGATCTATAAATGAAATGCACCCCAGGGTGGGTGGGTATGTGGTGTTGAGGAGGGGGACGTTTCCTTGGTTTCCATCATTTCTTAGCTTGTGTTTCCGACAGGATCTTCCCCTGCGTGATCGTCTGTGTATTTCAGGTAAGAAACTTTCCCTGATCTTTTAGTAGATACATGGGCTGACAAGAGTGTTTGATGAACTCTTTCTGTGCAAGAGGGGAAAGAAAGATACTAAATTATTAACGATTTGTGTACCAGAAGGGTGAAATTTTAACCATTTGCATGCCAGAGAGAGACAATATTAACCATATGTGTGCCAGAAGGAACAGTAGCTTAACAGTTTGCGTGCCGGAGAGGAATAACTATATTTTTGTGCAATGATGGCATTAACCATTTGTGTGCCAGTGGGGAAGATACTAAGTTATTAACAGTTTGTGGGCCATAGAGCTAAAATAGTAACTGTTTGTGTACCAGAGCATAGTCTTACGTTCTAGTATTTTAACTGTGTGCTGGAGAATGTTAAATATTATTTTTTCCCATCACATAGAGCCACGTATCATTGGCATTTAAGGGTTACTGCTAATCGGGTATTATTGATTTCTGATTGGAATGAGTGTAGTCTGCTAAGGGGTAATGATAGGGTGTGCAGACTGGAATCTGGTTAATGTGTTATTGGGCAGTTACTGCTGCCCCAATGAAATTCATAGCATTGTTTTGTGTTATAGATAAAAGTCAGACCTGAATCCACTAAAAGGTGTCACAGTGTGCCAGATAGAACATTGTGGAGAGCTGATATTCACTTCCATTTTAAAGTGTAAATTGTCGGGACTTAAAAGTGAGTTTACGTTTTCAGACCAAAACAGCCTAAATTACTCCCCCCTCCCCATTTGGCTGTTTTGGCTTAGACATTAAATTCACTTTGGATTTCGGACAACTAACATTATAGTGAGTAACACTGCTTCCATCTGAGTCACTCATAGGGTGGAGTGCCTAGGGCTGTGTAAACAAAGTAAGTTAACTCCTAAATGGCAGATAATTGAGCAATGTGACTGCAGGGGCATGATCTATATAGATCCACCGAGAAAAACATTGGATTGGCTGAAATCGGCAAGGAGGTGGGGCCAAACGTTGACTTGGCCAATCAGCACCTCCTCGTAGAGATACAATGAATCAATGCTGAAAGTGTACCGTCTCCGTGGAGATGCTGAACTGCCCCAGGAAGCACCTCCAGTGGCCATCTGAGGAGTGGCAACTAGAGGTATCCCTAGGGGGCAATGTAAACACTTTCTTTTCTCTGAAAAGTCAGTGTTTGCATGAAAATGCCTGAAGGGAATGATTCTACTCACCAGAACACATTCAATAAGCTGTAGATGCTCTGGTAACTATTTTTCCAGAAGTCCAAGTAAGAGCAAGCCATCTTCCTTTGGGCTGTGAAGGGATTGTGCTTTATACAGCACCTATCAAAAACATAGCATTTCTCTTTTTAACCACAGAAAACAAACCCTGTTTCTTTAGAGAGAGTAATTGTGATTCCATCCATAATTTAGAGACTCTGCAAAGTTCTGCTTTTGAGTCTGTGTTCTGTACAAGCAGTCACTGTCTGAGGACAGGTCATGAGAAATATATCCTCGGCTTTGCGAGGAAGCGGAGCCTGGCTCAAAGATGATTTTAGATCACCATCTAATAAAATGTCCATTTATATAACTTCATAACATAATCTAGCGCTAAAGTTTCTTAATGTTTAATGCATCTCCCTTTGTCTCTCTTGATCCAGCTGATGGCAAGGTAAGGTATTCTCGAGATATGCAGAGAACATTGGCCTGCCCCTTCATATGTGTAACTAAATTTATGATTGAGTAAAGGGGCAACTTATGGAATCTTACAACATGTTTTTATTTTTAAGATAATAGGTTGAAGGTAAAAGAACAGTCCAAGCACTATAACCACTATGCTATGAGAATTGCCTTCCTAAAGTAAGTAGTGAAACTGTTTGAAAATAGTTTTGCAACATACCTGGGGTCAATCAATCACCTCCTTTCCTGCAGCTATAAGATGGCTACCTGAGGCCAACTAAAGAACCATGCGGTAGAGAGAAAAGACTAAGCTGACAGGCGACGTTTGGACAACTTTTGGGTAAAACCGTTTAACCTCTTAATGTAAGATGACACCTAGGACCTCCAGGCACCATAAAAACTGCATTGAAAGAAATGATTATGGTGCCTGGGGTGTTACTTTTAAGTTCTCTATAGTGGGTGGTTGGGATGGGGGCAGTTTATTGACAGTTACATGTAAGAAGTCCTCACTTTTTCCTCTCTGCTGTTATACGATCACCTCTGAATAGTAACAGCCCTTTTCTGGGATAATCATCAGGACACGTGAATAAAGTCTTAGGGAAGCTACAAAGCGAATGGACTATTTCAGTAAGAACACATTGTGCCTTCATGATGACATTGTAGCTATATAAAGTGTCAGTTCTGGGGATCACTTTACAGACTAAGCGAAATGCTAACATTCTATTTGTATGTATTTGTAGGGACTGGATCATTGTGCAGCAAAACTGGGCATTATCACATCTGGCTTTGTACCTCTCACACAAAGAATACAAAGAAATGTAAACAATTCCAGGTAACTCATGTATGACAATGATCGTATAACACTTACTGGACAACGATAACTAATCCTGCCCTGATTTGACATTCCACCATTTTTATCTCTCTACATGTAAACCCCATTCAGATCCATTACACATGGAACATGATTGAGTTTTCTCTACAAGTAAATACAATGTGTGTGTATATATATATATATCTTCAGTATAACCTTGATTTTGCCCATTGTACAGAGCTATAATAATAATTTCAGCCGGCAGTGCTCCATTAAGAACTATACGGATTTACTCAACATTCCAAGAGAACCGAAATTGTTCCTTTCCTATAAATGACAAATGGTTTTATGGATTGTGTGTGCTCAAATGGCCCCTTCTCACCCACCCAACAGGAGTCAGCAGGATGGTGATTTTTATAGATTTTATTGTTTTTATAGATTAACAGCAGAATATGAAAATCACAGCCAAAGCAGTTCTTTAAAAAGGTCTGTCATTTATTCTCTCTGAAAAGTGTCTGTGCATTGCATAGGTGCGAATTCTGCCTTCATAGAAGACATGACAAAGGAACCACTTCAAAGTATTTACAATTCAGTCAACATGTAGACATGGATAGAAAGACTGTATACATATACAGACAGCGATATATATACGATTAAGATATATTTACAAACACCCTCGGGGCACTATAGTGCCAGGAAAACGTCAGCACGCATCTGAAGTGGGAGGAGCCGAGTGGAAGCCAGGAATTTTTGAATAGTAATTCCACCGCAGTGGTTGAACTCGCAATGCGGACGATAACACACCGATACTCCACCTGACTTAATTAAAGCGACATCTCCCAGTGTGGGATAGCGTGCTTGTGAGACACGGGTAAATATACCGTTGTACTCACCATCAATTCTAGTAAGCAGTTATCTGTTTACCTTTCTTCATTTTAATTTGATGAATTTTGTACTGGTCTTCAGAAACAGTGTAACAGATGATACATTATGCTGACACTGGCAGTATGGGGAGGTCACTGGCTGGCCAGTGGTCCTGGCACAGCAGTGTCACCAATAAATATAATTTATGGAAATTTACAGGGAATCAATTACTGTCTCAATCTAAAGAATGACTTACAGTGAAATACAAAATGATGCTCAGTGTTTTGGTGTACAGCACTGTGCGCACCCTACAGAATGAATTGAAGTGTGGTCCTACAGGGAGAAACTGGACAGATTTTGCACCGTGCCCATCGGACCTGTGTATGCTTGGAGGCCGTGCCCACCTTAAAGAGTGGATCTGTGTCCACACGTCACATTGTATCAATGCCACCAAATACCTGTTTGAGTGAAGTAAAATAAATTTTCCTAAAAAGTAAAGGTAAAGGTAAAGGAAAGAAGTGTTAACTCAGGTCGTGCTGTCTGGACACTCAATACCTTTTTTTTATGCTGAATATCTCAAAGTTGACTTATTTCTTTGTTTGTGCAAATTTCATTCATATCTGGAGTATTCGTGTCAGGATTTACGGCCTGTGATTCAGTGCAGTCGCCTGTACAAGACAGAAATATAAATATCTGGTGGCCGCCCTATGCGTACAGATCTGTCCCGCTTGCCACAGAAGTGACAGATTATGCGTGGCATAGATTTGAAAAGGCCATGCTTCATTTTCGGCACACTCCGTTAACCCAATTCTTCAAACAGCCAGAAAACAGGGGGTTATCTACTTAACAGGTCCCTGCATTACAATCTGCCCAACTTCACAGGCCCATTTGTGCCTTTACTAAGAAGATTGAACAATGTTGCATTTGGCTTTTATTTTTTTATTTGAAAAAAATAAAAAACAAACACACACAATTTTGGTTTGTTAAAAATGTAATTCCGAAAAGGTGTACACCCCGCAGCTCTTCACCAGTGCGAAATTCGTGGTTTAATTTGCAGAGCCGGCTGCCTGAGCGATGAATGCAGCTGGATGAGAGCTCACAGAGGACATAGCATAGCTCTCAGACAGCAGATAAGGGCAGGGTGTCTCTGTAAGGTCTGTACTGACAAAGAACATATCCACATAGTTAAAAGAAAAAAAACCTCAAAACATATAAGGGGCTGGAATAACTCGCAGAAATAGCAAGAAAATAAAGCTACAGGCCATAAGACAAAATATATATATATATATATATATATATATATATATATATATATATATATATATATATATATATATATATATATATATATATATATATATACATACACATCTTTTAATTCACATTCTCATAACATGTTCTAAAACCTTCCAGTCAAGATGCAATTCCCATTTACACTACTGTTTTAGTAAACAAATTCTGACCAACAGAACACACAGTTCTAGAGGAGAGAAGGAGGTGTGAAAGGGAGGACTGAAAGCAGAGCCTTGTACAATGCTAGATTGTAAGCTCTTTAGGGAAGTGGAACAGAATACTAATTTGGAAGGCCTCGAGTATCATTGCAATAAAGCCCCTGGTGGAAGTGCAGTTTATGAGCTGTGAGAGAAAAGCTACCATGACAAGCAGATAAATCCTGCCCCGATAATGAAAACAGCGATTTATGACACCAGTCTCCCATAAATCTGCTTTATGAGGTCATTTAGAAGCTGGCAGCGATTTGCAATTCAAAGTAATTCGGAGGGAGTTTGGGATTTGGTGCCAGATGAAGAGATTTTATTAGGGGAAAAATTCCACATACGGGAAGGAAGGTTCTGGGGTAATCAAGCACCCACTCCTACCCCTGGCAGCTCTGCAGCAACAGAGGCATTCTGGAGAAGAGCGCCCACCACTGGCAGCTCTACAGTACTGGAACCCCCAGGCAAAGAGAGGATCTTGGCTAATAAGTATTTATTCCCACTCCAAGCAGCTCATCATCTACCACAACCTCAGTGCAGATCTCATCCGAAACCACTGAGCTGCTAAAATCTCCCCCTGTAAGTGAGGATGGGGTGTGTGTGTATATATATATATATATATATATATATATATATATATATATATAATATATAATCAGGACCTGAAGTTGTGGGTGGGGCTTGGTTCCCCCTCTTAAGGAGCACCAGCCCTGCACTCACTACTATCTCAAGTCTGGAGATTTGCATACCCTAACTTCCAGGCCGTGCAAATCGCCATTTTCTATTCTGAAAACTCGTGGAAACAATTATCTGGTCCTGCAGCTCCTGGTCAGCTCGCACGCTGGTTCCTGAGTCCATGGAGACTCAGCAGTGTTATGGGCAAATGCAAATATTACAAGTTTTAGAATGAAATGTTGTATATCTTAAACTGTGTACTTTGTCTTTAAGAGATATTGCAAACTGACAAGGTGTTAGAAATGGAACATATTGTTTTTCATAGATGTTTCTTTAAGCAATAACCTCAGTGCATAATATGTTTGCGCCATTTTGTCTCAGACGAATTACAATAACATAAACAAGCTTCAAGGTTATTCTATGACTCTTTCAGAACGTAATATACTGTGGTAACCTTAGTAGATAAGGATGTTCAGACTTTAAGATGCCATCTTGAACTAAGTCAGGAAAATTTCCATGACGTATGCATCCTTTGGTTATGGCCTTGTATGTTTGCCAAATTAAGGGAGGTCCTAAAATGAATAAAGTAAAAGAAGTGTTACTTCTTCATATATGAACTACGGTAACCCTAAAATGGAGACACCTAAGGTATAAATAGGTGTACTTTTAAATGTTAAGACACAAAGGAGAGACTTGGAGACAGAGGCTGACATGATGTTCAGAAGGGTATGTTAACCTATTAATGATATTTGCAAGCATTTAGTTTAATCTTATAAACTCTGCTATAATGGATTTTATATGTCAATATTTTTATTTTTTTTATAATATATATCTAAAAAGACAAAACTTTATTGCTTCCAAGACAATCCTTATTTTATATTGTATTCTCAATTATTTATATATGTTAAATAGAGGATCTCTTACACTAACTATATGAAATTATGGCTAAGATATCTGTATGGTTAGCCCCAGTGGCGTACTAAGGGGGGGCAGAGGGGGTAGACCGCCAGGAGCGCCGCCCCCCCTCATGCTGCAGCCGCCCGAGCGCTCTGCAGAGAGCCTCAGGCAGCTGCAGCTTTGCCCGCCCGGGTGCAGACTGAAGAGAGGGACTGACAGGAGGGAGCGCTCAGCGCTCCCTCCTGTCACTCCCTCACTGTAGTGTGACCGAGCTCTGTATCATGGTCTCCGGGTACAGGAAAGAAAAGCTCCCTGTACCCGCGGACCAATACAGAGCTCGGCCACGCTACAACAGAGGTGAAGGGGGGGGGATAAATAAAGATTGGGAGGGGGGGATAAGGAGATTGGGAGGGGGGATAAAGAAAGAGAAATTGGGAGGGGGAGAGGGAAATTGGAGAGTGGGAGAAGGAAATTGGGAGGGAGAGAAGGAAATTGGAGAGGGGGGATAAAAAAAGATTGGGAGGGGGGATAAAGAAAAATTGGGAGGGGGAGAAGGAAATTGGAGGGGGGGGAGAGATTGACATTCATCACACACAATGCACCCCTTGGACACAGAAAAACACACAATGCATTACACACACTGCATTACACACACAGACACACATACGCAAGCAATGCAACCGTTACACACAATGCATCCTACACGCACAGAAACACACAATGCATTCATTACACACACTCAATGCATCCCGTACATACACAGAAACACACCTTGCAGCCCTTACACA